AGTTTCATCTGCTGGAGGTTTGAAGGTAAGGTCCATGTGGGAAGGATGGGACAGGTTCCTTGTATAAGAGATGGGCTCAAAGCTTGAAAGTGATTGGGCAGGGTGGGTAGAGATGCGGGTGATGAAGAACAAAGTATGTTGGACTCAAAAGGGCACTGCTAGCCAGGCGCCGGTGGCTCATGCCTGTAATCCTAACTACTCAGGAGGCTGAGATCTGAGGATTGTGGTTCAAAGCCAGCCTGGGCAGGGAAGTCTGTGAGACTCTTATCTCCAATTAACCACTAGAAAGCCAAAAATGGTGCTGTGCTTAAGTGGCAGGGTGCTGGTCTTGAGCTGAAGAGCTCAGGGACAGAGCCCAGGCTCACAGGTCAAGCCCCACGACCACCTCCCCTCACCAAAAAAAAAAGGGAGGGGCACTGTTTTAGGAGTCTTGCAAACTGCCCTCTCTCCCCTCCTGCCTTTACTTGGAAGGGGGAAAAAATGGCTCCTAGGCAAGATCCTATAGCTTAGACTAGGGAGCCCAGCTGGATGCCTTCCTCCTACCCCCAACTTCTTCCCAGACCAAAGCTGCCACTCTGAGCTGCTCCAGCTGTTGTTTGTCTGTGCTTTTTATCTTGCCTTACCTTCTGTGAGACAGGGAAGATCAGATAAAGTTGTTGGTGGTGGGGAAGGCAATACTGTAGTTGGCAGGTGGGGGTTGGCTCTTCTGTAAACAATCTTCAGGGCACAGAGGGAGGGGAAGAGAAGGGACAGCTGGTGTATGGTAAATTTCCTTTAGAGCAGACATGATTTCATGACTGAAAGAAAAAAAAATGTTGCAGCTGGGTACTGGAGGCTCACACTTGTAATCGTAGCTACTCAAGAAGCTGAGATCTGAGGATGGTGTCTCAGAGCTAGCCTGGGTAAGAAAAGTCAATGAGACTTTACCTCCAATAAGCCACCAAAAAGCCAGAAATGGAGCTGTGGCTCAAGTGGAAGAGTTGACAGCTTTTAGCAAAAAAGCCAAGGGACAGCTCCCAGGCCCTGAGTTCAAGCCCTGGTACTGGTGTACACACACACACACACACACTCTCTGTCTCTCTGTCTCTGTCTCTGTCTCTCTCTCACACACACACACACACATATTGATCTTTGTTAATTCTTTTGAAGGGGATCATACCTTCACAAAGTCATTTCTGCTCTGTGGTGAGGCCAGGTGTGACAGCAGAAAGACAAGTTTTCAGGCCTCATTGACCCCACCCAAATGGTACTTACTACTTAAGTTGTGTGGCCAAGCAAACCTCTTCAAACCTCAGTATTGGTGGCAACCAACAGAACAGTCAGCATCACAAGACTGCTGGGGGAATGAACTCAAGATATGTCAGTCAAGCTGACAGGTAATTCAGAGTTAGTAGCCTTCAGTGATCTGGGAGACCCATGTGGAAATGCAGGGTTCTATCTGCATGCTAAAGCTCCCTCAACCTGGCCTCCTCCTGTCGTGGGAATACAGTCTGTTTTTACTGCTCAGTTCTGGCAGAAGAGCCAACTGCTGGAGACCTCCTTGAGAAGTATTTCAGTCAGTAGGGCAGATAAGGCTCTGACCACTTGGTGTTTTAAGGGCCTGCTGATGAGGCTACCTCCCCAGAGAGGTGACTGTTCATGGGTGTGTGTGTGTGTGTGTGTGTGTGTGTCCTGATACTGGGGCTTACACTCAGTCCTTGGTGTTGTCCTTTAGCATTTTTGCTCAAGGCTAGCATTTCTATCATTTGAGCCACAGCTTCACTTCTGACTTTTTGGTGGTTAATTGAAGATGAGTCTCATGGACTTTCTTACTTGGGCTGGTTTTGAACCACAGTCCTCAGCTCTCAGTCTCCTGAGTAGCTAGGATTACAAGTGTAAGCCACCATTGTCTGGCTCTGCTCATATGTTCTAGATCACCACTGGCTGGTAGGAATAGGGGATTGAGTAGAAAACTGTACTTCTGGGGACTTTGAAGCCCAGATCTTGTACCCTAATCCTCAGATTTGCAGTAAACAGAAGGGAATCTTTGGGATATTGAGAGTTGAGTTCTATGAGTCACTTCAGGTTTGAATCTGGCTCCACCCCTCTCCCCCACTCCCTAGTCTGCCCTTTCCCATATCAGCTCTGGCCTGGTTAGGCTTTCACTCTGTGTCCTGGATGCTGTACCATCTCCAATCCAGGCATCTACAGCAGCTCAGATTGGCTGTCTCCTGTCACCTCCATCGCCTGTCATTTGCCCCTTACCAAGCATCTGCCTGGCCCACCCATTTTTCTGTTTACTTGGGTATCAGGCCTATGTCTCCTTGAGTATTCTGTATTGTTTCATTTTTACATCTTCTCAGATTGCAATTTATTGAACAGGTCAGTGCTAAATCAATGTTTGGAAATGTTGAGTCTGGTTGATTTGGATTCCTTTGTGTTTTTCTGCAAACATGTTGAGGGAGGTAGGGAGATGGAGGCTGTTGACCTCTAGAGCATAGGGGTGTGTTAGAAAGATATGGAGTTGACTTTTGGGGTCTCTGAACACCTGAATGAACTACTGTGTCCCAGGAATCCAAGTGAATCTCATAGGGTAGATACAAAACCAGCCTATACATACTGACACCCAAGTGTTTACATATATGTGATCAGCCACTACTCATGTTTTCCCAAATCATACATATATACCAGAAATCCAGAGATGTTTTTAGAAGTATGTAAAGATGAAGCCATTGTTCCAAACTGTGTGGAATTTCCTGTTTACAATAGGTGGCTGAGAGCTGAGTGTTCCCGCCTAATTGTTCTGTCCCTTATGACCATTTTGTTATAATGTATAACTTTGTCACATGAATGAACTGGAAACAGGCCTGTAGAAAATTCTTTCTGGCTTGGCCCAAGATCTAACCTGACTGTACATAAATCATCTTTAGCATTCAGTTGTGCAGATTTATTTCATCACATGTTTGCGGTGAGGCCACGGTCCATGGGCCACATTTTGAGTAGTGTGATTATAGTCTTCTGGAGTTGGAATCCCCCACTTCGAACGAACTATACTAGCAGCCATACTTTCGGCACCCAGATATCCTGTTTCTTTCCTTCTTCCCAAGTAGGTAAGTGCCAGATTTCTTAAATACCATGTTTACCTTTGGCCTGGAAGTTCTCTTTTATTTCCTAAATTTGATCAAGAAGTTCAGGTTGGCCTCTCCCAAAGTCACCTCACCAGGTTACCTGTTCGTATCTCACTGTGATAAAACCCTCACCGTCCCTCAACAGTGATGTGGATTTTCCAATCTATGTATGTATGTATACATGCATTTATGTATGTATTTTGGTACTGGTCCTGGGGCTTGAACTTGGGGCCTGGGTGCTATCCTTGAGCTTTTGTGCCTAAGGCCAATGCTCTATTATTTGAGCCATATAGATCCACCTCCAGTTTTTTGTTTATTAATTGGAGCTAGAGTCCATGGACTTTCCTGCCCAGGATGGCTTCAAATTATGATCCTCAGATCCTGAGTAGTTAGGATTACAGATGTGAACAGTGGCAGAATTTTCCAGTCTTTGTCTGATCTTCAGATACACCCTTTCCTGACTGGATCCTTTAGGGAAGAGTTGTGTCTACGTTTGGTGGGTCACACTCGAAAGACCTGACCCCAGTGGATGAAGCATGTAGAATCAGTCAGAGTCTTAGGGAGGAAGGCACTGGGATGAGTCCATCCTAGGATGGCTAGAGAGCCAAATGGAAGGACAGAGTTGGGTACTCCTGAGATCTCCTATCCAGGGGGGAGCCTTATTACGGGCATTCAAGCTTCAGCTGGGAACAAGGCTGGATTCAGACAGGAAAGACCCTTTGAGAAGCTCTCCCCTTTGCCCAGCTCTGTTGAAGCAGTGCACCTACTCTTCCACTCATTCAGCGGAAATTCCAGATCCAACACCAAGCTTAAACATGGCATTTGCAGCTGGTTTGTTTTTAAGGATATTTGCTTTCTTGTCAACTGTGGTTTTCTATATTGCCTTCTTTTTATTGTTGGCTTCTTAAAAAAAATTATGAGCCTGTTTTGTTTCTCTAATGAGTCTGAATTAAGCTATTTTCATTTAGGAGAAATCTACTGAGATTGTCTCCTGTAGTGAATAGGAGGCACTGGTTGGGTTCTGGCTGGGGTCTTGATGAGGCCGTGGTCCCTGCTTGTGGAGGGTTCTTAAGCAAGAGAGAAGAGAAAGTTGTTCCACTGTCTCTGCTCTTTTCTATCTCTTTCTCAGCTCTTTCCTTCTCTTCTCTTTCCCAGCTCTCTTCTCTTTCCTAGCTTGCTCTTTCCCACCTCTTTCCCAGATGCTCTCTTTTCTAGCTCTTTTCTCTCTCTTTCCCAGCCACGTGGAGTGCCAACCTTGCCTGGTCCCAGCAGGTCTACTGAATAAACCTACCCCTTACCTGAATACCACGTGCATGGTGCAGTTCTTACTCGGCTACCTCTTTTTAAAAACCTAACACCTCCCTCTTTTTTTTTTTTTTTTTCCAATTGTTGGTGGTAGTCATGGGGCTTGAATTCAGGGCCTGGGTGCTATCCCTGAGCTCTTTAGCTCAAGGCTAATGCCCTATCACTTGAGCCACAGCTCTACTTCTGATTACCGGCCTGAGCAAACCCCCCCCCCCCCCACACACACCCCAATCCCTGCCTCTTCTGTCTTTGTATTAAAAAAAAATAAAATAAAATAAATTAAAAAAAGAAAGTTGTTCCTACTGAAAGTGGGGCAGGGTGATTGATAGGTGAGCCAATAACAGGAAAAAGAAGGCACAGTACTAAAAACCCATGTGTGCTTATCTCCAGGCTCTGGGAGAGTTGCTACAAAGGGTTCTGAGGAACTTGCCTCTGATTGGTCAGTCTCTGATGCTCTGGCCCCTCCTCCATGACCTTCCTGGTGAATCACCTTCCTGAACTTTGTACAGAAGAGATCAGATCCCAGCTGCCCTGTGAGAACAGTAACATCTTCCTTCCTCTCAATCTCCAGAAATGTCTTTTCTCCAGGATCCAAGTTTCTTCACCATGGGGATGTGGTCCATTGGTGCAGGTGCCCTGGGGGCTGCGACCCTGGCAGTGCTCCTGGCCAACACAGACCTGTTTCTGTCCAAGCCAAAGAAAGCAGCACTGGAGTATCTGGAAGAAATTGATTTAAAGACGCTGGAGAAGGGTAAGGAGCCACTTTGCTAATTTCAGTACTTTTCCAAGGACCCGTTGTACAGGCTTGCTCATGTTTACTTCCTAAATTCCTCTTCATTTTTTTTCTTTTTCTTTATTCTTTAAATTATGTTTAAGTAGTGTACAATTCAGCGGGTCAGTTTATGAGTACAATGCGTCTTGATCAGCATCATTCCTTTCTTTACTTCTTTTCACTTGAAAAGCCAGGCAATAAGATTAAGGGAATTTTGGTAGAATGTTTCGCTTACTTTTTGATTTGGGCCTGTTCCTTTCCATGAGTCCACATAATTATATAGGTGTGATCTTGAAATTAGTGGCTAGTTTATCTTTTTAAAAAAAAAATCAGAATCATTTTTTTACTCTTACTGTCTCACTAACTGTAACGATAAATTGTCCCATGATAATTTGTAATAATCTACCGTCACTTAATAAACCAGCCCTTCCAGAGTGTTCTAAGGAATCCCCAGCTTGTGGGTTCTTTACAAAAATAAAAATAAAAAAATAGAAAAAGCAGTGAGTTAAGTCGGTCTGAGGAGAACTCGTCACTCAACAAAGCTTGTTCAACACAGGGTTTCCCAACCTTCTTTGACTTCCATTCCCTCTCCTGCCTTTTAGTTCATCTAATACCTCACAGGCACATGGATGCCTGTGGGAAATACTGAAAGAATTCCTCTGTCTCTCTCTCTCTCTCTCTCCCTCCTTCTCTCGCTCTGTCTGGGGTTGGAGGGAACAGTGTTATTTGAGTTTGAACTCAAGAGCTTTGCACTCATCCAACTTGCTTGTTGATGGCCGGATCTTTACCACATGAGTCATGCCTTCAGTGCTGCTTTTTGCTAGCTATTTTGGAAATGGGGTCTAATGAGCTTTTCTGCCTAAGCTGTCTTCAATTTTCTGCATCTCACTTCTAACTAGGAACCCAACTCCAAGTTTGTTTGTTTTCCTTTTGTGCTGGTAGTGAGGCTTAAGCTTAGGGTTTGGGTGCTTAACCTTTTCCCTCATGACTGGCACAACTCCACTTTCAGCTTTTTTTTTTTTTTTTTTTTTTTTTGCTGGTAAATTGAAGATAAGAATCTCACAGATTTTTCTGCTTGGATTGGCTTCAAACAATGATCCTTGATCTCTGCCTCCTGAGTGGCAAAGATTATAACAATGAGACACAGATACCTGGCTCAACTTTTTTTTTTTCCATTTTTATGCTGGTATTAGGGTTTGAACTCAGGGTCTAGGTGCTGTCCTTTAGTGCTTTCACTTAAGGCTACTGCTTTACTACTTTAGCCACATTTCCACTTTCAGCTTTCGTAATGGCTAATTGGAGATAAGAGGTTCACAGACTTATCTGACTGGGCTGGCTTTGAACTGCAATTTTCACATCTCAGCCTCCTGAGTAGTTAGGATTATAAGTGTGAACCAGCACCCACCTCAAAATAATTTCCTAAATAATGTAAAAAGAAATTTTTGGGGTCGCTCATAAGCTTGAACTCTGGGCCTGAGTACTGTCCCTCAGCTCTTCAGCTCAATGTGAGCACGTTCTACCACTGAGTCATAGAACTACTTCCAGTTTTCTGGTGGTTTATTGGAGATAAGAGTCTCATGGACTTTCCTGCTCGGGCTGGCTTTGAACCTCAATCCTCAGATCTCAGCCTCCTGAGTAGGGAGGATTATAGGTTTCAGCCATTGGTGCCTGGCTTATAAAAAATTATTTTTTAAACTTATGTTGACTTATTCCTTTTGAAAACAGGTGTGTGTGTGTGTGTGTTGGTATGTTGGGCTGATGTTTTGTTTAGGGAAATTTAGGGGTTCTTTTCAATATTTGTGATTGAACTCACGCTTGCTAGGCAGGTATTCTAGCATTTGAGGCACACCTCCAGCTCTTTTTTGGTTTCTGTATTTAAATGGATCTCCCTAACCTTAGCCTGATCTGACTTTGAACTTGTGATTTTTCTACCTCTTCTTATTGAATAGTTGAGATTACAAGCATGTACTACCATTCCTCATCACTTTGAATAGTTTTAAGATTTTTTTTCTTTTTTCAAAGTGTAAGACCTTTTTAGTTTTGGCAATATTTCTGCCGTACAGATATTACAAGTCTAACAACATTAGCCATTAAGGGAATTGACATTTTACTAGAAATGTCACGATTTGGAACATTCAGTGCCTGGGTTTGACTCAGGGCCTTCCCTGTAACTTGAGCTACATCCCTATCCTTTTTTGCTTAAGTTGTGTTTTAGGATCTCATGCATTTTTTGTGGGCTTATCTTAGACTGATCCCTTTGTCTGTGCTTCCCTAGTAGCTGGGATTACAGCTGGGTGCTATCATAACCCAGCTATTCATTTTTTAATTTGTGCCAGTATTGGGGCTTGAATTCAGCACCTTAAAGCTCTCTCGTGGCTTTTTCCACTCAAGGCTGGTGTTCTACCACTTGAGCTGTATCTCTACTTCCAGCTTTTTGCTGGTTAATTGGAAATAAGAATCTCATGGACTTTTCTGCCTGGCTGGCTTCAAACCTTGATTGGTCCTCAGATCTTCACTTCCTGAGTAGCTAGGAGTACTTATTAAAGGTATGAGTCACCAGCACCCAGCTCATACCTAGCTTTTTTATTGAGATAGAGTCTCACTAGCTTTTTCCCTGGCCTAGCTGCGAACTTCCATCTTTTTTATCTCCACCCGTCAGATAGGTGGTACTATAGGAGTGATCCACTATGCTGAGCCCTTGAAAATAAATTTTTCTGGGGCAGTGGCCTTTAGAATATACATGCTGTAGAATTCTTAAGTTTTACTAACTTTCCTGAGGAGAATGAGCATTCCTCTCCTGTGCTTGTCTTTTTCCATACATAAAGTACCTGATCTGGTCCTCTCCCATGCCTGGCTCCACTCAGTGTATTTCACATAGGGCTTGGGGAAGAGCTGGGCCGGGCTAGGAAGAGATCCTGAGTTTCCATTTCTTTTCCCTTAGAACCAAGAACTTTCAAAGCAAAGGAACTATGGCAGAAGAGGGGAGCCGTGATTATGGCTGTGCGTCGGCCAGGTTGTTTTCTCTGTCGAGAGGTGAGTGACTTTGAGAATCTGATCAGAGAAGAAGATCCCAACAAATGTCCCCAGGAGCATTCAGCCAGGACCAAGGGCCGCCTGTCAGTGCACTCACCTTTCTTCAGCCCTGACTAGTCTCTGCTACTTACTCTCCATGTTTATTTTAACAGGTTCTGTTCTTGCCTTTTAATCTCACCATCTCCTCCTGGGCTTAGCAACATACTTCCTCTGGTACTTGCAAGGTGTGTGGAAGTAGCTGTGTCTTAGACTAGATTCCCATTGGACTGCAGCGGTCCTAGGGCCCTTTTCTGTGTTCCTGATGGTGTGCACAGACGCATGTGGTCTGCAGCAGGGTCTGCAGCACTGCTCATACTGCTTGGTCTATAGTGAAGCTGCAGCATGTGGCTCCCCGCAAGGTCAAACTCTTAAGGACACACCTATCTGCCTGCCCTCCCCTTGGGGGCATGCCTGGTTCTGTCACCAAGTTGTAGCTCAACAGCTGGGTCAGCTTCAGGTTGGCCTCTCGATGGGAAGCCATCATCGTCTCTGTGGTAAGGTATCTTATCAAGGGAAAGCAAGAGTTCTGCTCAGCCTTGTAAAATAAGGCTGATGGGTAAAACAAGGGTCAGAGCCAGGTACTGGTGGCTTACACGTGTAATCCTAGCTACTCTTGGAGGCTGAGATTTAAAAACTATGATTTGAAATCAGCCCTGGCAGGAAAGCTATTCCATACTTATCTCCAATCACGACATACACACACACACACACACACACACAAATCCTGGAAGTGGAGTTATAGTTCAAGAGGTAGAGGGCCAATCTTGAGTGAAAAAGCTAAGGGACAGCACCCAGACCCTGAGTTCAAGTCCCATTGGTGGCACAAAGAACAAAAAAGAACAAAGGCCAGAATGGCTTGAGGACTTACCCAGGTGTTTGTAAAAGCCTGTGAGGGTGAAGCTGTGGTTTATTGGCTGCAGAGTCCCCTGGAGTTTGTACAAACCCTGAACTTCACTGTGTCCCACAGGAGGCTTCAGACCTGTCTTCCCTGAAACCCAAGCTGGAGGAGCTGGGCGTCCCTCTGTATGCTGTAGTAAAGGAGCACATCAGCACCGAAGTGAAGGACTTCCAGCCTTACTTCAAAGGAGAGATCTTCCTGGATGAAAAGGTATGTGTGGGATGCGGGTGTGGGCTGCTGGTTGGGTATATGCAGGCAGGTGAGGATAGTGCTCAGCTATAGAGCGTTCAGTGCACCAGGGCCTGTCTGGCACGGAGCTGGAGGCAGCCTCCCCTCCAGCAATCCTGAACTTGCAGGGGTTCTCCAGCCCTCTGAGCAGAACAAAGTTAGACTCTTAAAAGCAAACAGATTCTTTTTTTTTTTTGAGCCGGATCTGGGGCTTCAACTCAGAGCCTAAGTGTTGTCCCTGAGCTTTTTTACTTATGGCTAGCACTCTACTGCTCAAGCCACAGCTCCACTTAGAACTCTTTGGTGAATAATTGGAGTTAAGAATCTCACGGACTTTCCTTCCTGGACTGACTTTGAACTGTGATCCTTACATCTCAGCCTCCTGAGTAGGTGGGATTACAGGCATGAGCTACCAGCGCTCCAGCAGCCAACAAACTCATGAAAGTTGTTATTACAGACTTTTCCTGCAGTGTGATCGAGGAGAGGAGAAAGTAGCTAAACCCCATCAAGCGCTTCCACCATTGCTGGTTGGAGCTACAACACAAACTCCTGTCCCATTGATTCCTTGTGGGTGTCTTTCTTTCCCTGTCATTCTCTACACTGTTACACTGTAGGAACATGAGAAGTTACAGAGTTGTTTACAAGGTTGGGCTGGAAGTTGGATTCTCACGAGATCTGAGGATCACAGTTAGAAGCCAGCTTAGGCAGAAAAGTTTGTGAGACTCTTATCTCCAAATGAGCAAGACTCAGGATGTAGAGCAAAACTCAGGAAGAGGGCAGAACTCACCAGCTATGAGCAAGAGTGGGGCCCAGCATTCAAGCCCCAGTACCAGGAGAGGAAAAAAAAAAAAAAGCTAAACCTAGCTGTGCTCTCTCTTTCCTCTAGCAGTTGACTCTCGTTCCTCTAGCAGTTGAGTGTGGTCCTGAATGGGGTTCCAGGGACACACAGGGAGGACCTGAAGCTGCAGACCTTGCATGCATAGCTGAGAACCAGAGCATTGCAGAAAACCTTCCTTCCCCGGGGAAGACAGGCAGGAATGCAAGGCATACTCACCCAACGTCTCTCTTGCTCCATAGAAAAAGTTCTACGGTCCCCAAAAGCGCAAGATGATGTTTATGGGATTCATCCGTCTGGGCGTGTGGACCAACTTCTTCCGGGCCTGGAATGGAGGCTTCTCAGGCAACCTGGAAGGCGAAGGCTTCATCCTCGGGGGAGTTTTTGTGATGGGGTCAGGAAAGCAGGTAAATTCTGAGTGTTCACTGCAGGTCTATGGAGGGGTGTTGTGTGGAGTAGGAGGCCCTGGTGTGGGGTCAGGACTTTGCATGTTTACAATCTCCAGCCCTGTTTTCCAGATGTCCAGGGAGCTGGAGGAAGGGCAGAGAGGGCTAGTAAGAAGCACAGGAATTCAAATGCCTCTTGCTCTGCAGACTCTGTCTGCCCTGTTCATAAATTGTCTTCAAAAGTGGTTTCCATAGCCAGGCACTGGTGGCTCATGCCTATAATCCTAGCTAGTTAGGAGGCTGAGTTTTGAAGATTGCAGTTCAAAGCCAGGTTGGGAAGGAAACTCTGAGAGACTTTTATCTCACATTAACCATCATAAAGCCAGAAGTAGAGATGTAGCTCAAATGGTTAGAGTGGTAGTCTTGAGCACAACAGAACTCAAGGACAATGCCCAGGACCTGAGTTCAAGCCCCAGGACTGGTGCACACATAGACACACAAGTGATTCCCATGATCCCTTCCAGGTCCCTTATACGTGGGCAGGCTACTTCTCTAGGAGATTACCTCTCACCTTTCTGCTCCGGCACCATGGGTCCCTTGGCACTTCTCTACCTCCTGTGGCCTCTAGGGCAAGAGTTGGAACCCGTGGCAGCCTGTTCTTGCCTCGTCATGACTCACCCGGGGTTCACAGGCCCAGCTAGTGCATTCGTGGTGTTGCTAGGTGTGGTGTTTGTGTTGGTTCTTCTTGGAGTCTGGTCTTCCCTTCCCTAGAGGATGGTACATTATCAGGATTTAGTATATGTTTTTGTTAGAGGGAGGGGCTTGGTACTGGCATGAAACCCAGGGCCTTGTACCTATTAGGTAAATACTCTCCTACTTGAGCTATGCCCCCAGCCCAGCATCTGGGATTTTTTATTGGAAGTAGTGGGCTCTGAACCCAAAGTTTTGTGCATGTTAGGCCAAGTGCTGTACCCCTGAGCTACCCACCTGTCCCGACCTTTTTTGCATTCCCACTGTGTCAGTTGCCACTTGGTAGGATTTTTTTTTGCCAGTTCTGGGGCTTGAACTTAGGGCTTGGGTACTGTCTCTGAGCTTCTTTTTGCTCAAGGCTAATACTCTACCATTTGAGCCACAGCGCCACTTCTGGCTTTTTCTGTTTACGTGGGACTGAGAATCAAACCCAGGGCTTCATGCATGTGAGGCAAGCATTCTACCACTAAGCCACCTTCCCAGTCTGGGAATTTCTTTTATTGTAAGATTGTGGAAAACATACTTGCTTCAGAGTGTTTGTGTACTATAGAAAATGAAAAATGTCAGAACAATGGAAGGTGTTGGAGCATGCTGTGGGCTGAGCCACCACACAGGGTGTTAGAACAGAGCTCAGTGGACTTTGGCTTTATTTTTTCTATTTTTCCAAAATGGTATGTTACTAAACTAAGTCTTGTTTTGCCCTTAGCAGTGTATCATGAGCATTTCCCCTGCCATTATGCATTCCTCCTCAGTAGTTTGTTTTTTACTGTCTGATTACTGTATTAAGCAAGGAAATCTAATTTCCAACTCTACACTTTCAGTCACTCTAGTGTGCTGGGAGTTTTTGTTTTATTTAGGTCTTTATAAATAATGACAGAAAAAGCTAGGTGCTGGTGGCTTACACCTGAAGTCCTAGCTAGTCAGGAGGCTGAGATCTAAGGATGTGGTTCAAAGCCAGTCTAGGGCAGGAAAGTCTATGAGACTCTTATCTCGGATGAACTTCCAAAAATAAAAGCCAGAAGTGTACTGTAGAGTACCAGCCTTGAATAAAAAATCTAAAGGAAAGGACCAGGCCCCTAGTTAAGCCCCAGGACTGGCACTGAATAAATGGATAAATAAAACAAAATAATAAACAAATAAATAATGACAGCATATTGCAACTTTTTAAAATTTAATTTGAACTTCCAGATTAAGGAACTTTTTTTTTCTTTTATAATTTTTAATTGTTATAAAGATTATAAAGGTGCTATACAGAAGAGAAACAATTACTTAAGTCAGGTAAAGAGAGCATTTCTTTATGGGCAATGTCACCCCTTCCCTCTCTTTCTCCCAGTTTTTCCCTCCCATATTAATGAACTCTTTAAGAAGGATTCTTTGATACTGATCTCAAGCATATTATTTTATTTTTCACCACTGTAGGATAAAGGTGGTGTGTTCTGTGTCTTAGTGCATTTTACTTCTCAGTATACAAGTGTGGTCTTCAGTTTCCTAGGAGGACAAAAGGAAGGCCTCTGTCTCCCTTCTCAGCTTGTCATCCAGGACCTGCCAAATCTAGCCTCTAAGCTATGCCTAGTAGAGTCTTCTCTTGGAAGACCCTCTTCTCTTTTTTTTGTGTGTGTATGCCTGTACTAGGGATTGAACTCAAGATCTCACATTCTTTTTTTTCGGGGGGGGGGGGGGCGGGGGAGGGGTCCAGTCATGGGGCCTGAACTCTGGGCCTGGACGCTGTCCCTCAGCTCTTCAGCTCAAGGCTAGCACTCTACCACTTGAGCCACAGCGCCACTTCTGGCTTTTTTCTTTTTGCTTATGTGGTGGTGCTGAGGAATGGAACCCAAGGCCTCATGCATGCAAGGCAAGCGCTCTACCACTGAGCCACCTTCCTAGCCCCATGGTCCCACATTCTTGACTTGGTTTTTTTGCTCAAGATTGGTGTTCTACCATTTGAGCCATAGCTCCACATCTGGCTTTCTGCTGGTTAATTGGACATAAGAGTTTCATGAAGATTCTTCTTCCCAAACTGGCTTTGAACTATAATTATAGCTCAGTTCTCAGCCTCCTGAACAGCTAGGATTATAGGTCTGAGTCACCAGTGCCTGGCATCTCTAGCTGTGAATATCCTGTTTACCTGCTGTGCTTTTGTTGTCTATGAATTCTTCCCTAGTCCCTTTGTCATCATTGTTCCTGGTTGCTTGCTACTAAAGTGCTGTTTGTAGAGTGTAGTCCATGTGATGTATCTTCCTCTAATCTTCCTTCCCTAGAAGACTGGCCTCATCAGGGCAGGTGTTGAGCCTGATTCAGATCTGTCATTCTCTGCTGCTTGCGCACAGGGCTTGATGTGCGGACAGCTTGTGCTCACTATCTGTGTCATGAATGAATGGCTCAGAAGGAGAAATGATGTTTCCTTTTTGTTTTTGTTTTTGTTTTTCCCTAGGGCATTCTTCTCGAACACCGAGAAAAGGAATTTGGAGACAAAGTAGACTTGCGTTCTGTTCTGGAAGCTGCTGCCAAGATAAAACAAGAGACTCTCGCCTCAGAGCAAAAATGATCACAGGAAAAATTCCTGGCTCAGGGGTAACTGTGGGCACACACTTTGGCTCATCAGCGCTGTCGAGTTTCCTCCCTGAAGAGTGAGAAGCGTACTCACACCACGTTCTTGCTGTGTAGTGGAGTGTATTTAATACAGTTTCCTGTTTAGTCTCAGCAAGGCAAATTGCCCCAAAACAAAACTGATAAAAATCTAATGTACTAATGAGAGCTAATTGTGATAAAAGTGAGAAAGTATGAGGTTTAAAACCAACTATAGCCACTCATTGCAAATTATATTGTTTCAGTGCTACTATCTAAGATTATTTTATTTTCATTATTAAAATCTACAAAAAATTGAGACCATGGTATTGCTCAATGGCAGAGTACTTGCCTAACATGCACAAAGCCCTGGGTTCTATCTCCAGCAACTGAAAAAGAAAACAACAACAACAACAACAAAAACCTAAGGAAAATTGATGATTGACTTGAAGATTGAGAAATATAAGGATTTGGGCTTGCCTGTTTTCTGTTACATAAATGGCTTGTTTCTTATGTAATGTCAAGGTAATACTCATAAGGAATTGATAGGTTATGAGCTAGTTCAAGAAAGAAAAGTTATAAAAATGAGATCTTGTTTTATTGTTTTGCCATTGCTAACCTCAGAGATTTGATTTTCTAGAAGTAATCATCTCTGGCTCTAATAAAATTATATATCAGAAATCACCTTGTATGTGCAAGTTTTTTCTTTAAAAATGAGTAATAACCAGGTGCTGGCAGCTCATCTCTATAATCCTAGCTACTCAGGAGGCTGATAGCTGAGCATCGTGGTTCAAAGCCGGCCTGGGCAGAAAAGTCCATGAGACTCTTTATCTCCAATAAACTACCACCAGAAAAGCCAGAAGTGTAGCTGTGGTTCAAGTGGTAGAGCACTAGCCTTGAGCAAAAGAAGCATAGGAACGGTGTCCAGGCCCTGAGTTCAAGCCCTAGAACTGACACATAATAATAGTAATAGTTATAATAATAATAAAATTTACCAAATAAAAGTATTTGCCATAGGTATTCAATAAGGGGAAGGGACTCTTAGAAATGATTAGAAAGATTCATCTCATCATTTATGTTAGTGGTCTGACCCTTTCTGGAAGAAGACTTTAGTGTTTAAATCTGGTAATTCAGGAGAAAAAGGGACATAAAAGATGAAATACAGTTCACTCAGGAATTTGTTATGTTGCAATTGTGTCCTACATGTGTAAGGTGAGCAAATCCTCAAGGGGACTTCTGCTCCAAGGAGTTTCCCCCAAGACCTTGAATTGGCCTAGGAGTAGAAGGGTGACCCAGAGAATCAGGAGAAGATTTACTCAGAGGACTTAGCTCAGCCTGGAGAAAGGGAGTCTACCAAAACAAAAATGGAGACTAAGGTAGGTATGGTGGTACATACCCAGAATCCCAGTATTTGGAAGACATGAGTGTAGATCCACTTAGATTCACAGGCTGAGGCCCGCCTGGGCTACATAGCAAGATCCCTCTCAAGTTGAGAAAGTAGGAAAGATGTAGGAGCTAAGTATGCAGAATAAGTAGGTGTTCAGGAGAGGCAGGCCTAGGTCAGGCTTCAGGTGGCAGTAGCTAGATGGAGGGCTGGGTTTCCTCAGTTTGAGTCAAGACCCTACAGTACCTGCGCTGTATTGATCTGACATCTCTCCCTGAAGATCTGGTCCTTGGGTCCAGCTACTGCTGATATGATAATTCCCAATGAGTTCTTTGGAGCCCACAAGAGAGTTGGTGACTAAAAGTGAATCTAAAACAGTTCTCTTTGCAAGTTCAGAAGAAAGGGGAATGCCTGAGAGCACATGGCACTGATACCTGAATAGAGGTCATGATCAAATATTTCTACCACCACCACCCCCAACAGCTGCACAGGCCATGTGGCCTCTGTCCCATGTTGTTGTAGAAACGGCACTGGCTTGAGTCATGAGATAGTTCAGTTTGCAGTTTGTTGTGACCTTAAATAAAAGCCCTTGTACTCATCACTCATTGCTAAAGTGAGGGTAAAAATTCCTGTCTAAACTAGACACGGGCAGCTCATTCTGGTAATCCTTGCTAGTCAGGAAACTGAAATCTGAGGATCACAGTTCAAGCCAGTCCAACCAGGAAAACCTGTGAAACTCTGCTCCAATTAGCCAGCCAAAAAAAAAAGCCTGAAGTGGAGCTGTGCCTCAAGTGATAGAGTGCTAGCCACGCACAAACAAGTCAGATGAGCTAGAGAACCTGAGTTCAAACCCCAGTACCACCCAGAACAAACAAAACTCACAAAATTCATGCCTACTATTCAGAGCTGTTTGTGAGAAATTCCTGAAGGAAGAGTAAACATAAAGTAGTACTTCCCCATTTCAGTGTAAGTGCAAATCACATACGTATCTCATTAAAATAGAAATGAGGGTAAAAGGCAGTAGAGACAGATACTGTTCTCCTGGAGGAGCAGTAGTTGGAGAGTCCTCAGCATGGAACTGAGTACAGAGCTCTGATCTGTGCAGCAGTGACTGGGAATTTTGAAGGAAGAATGAGTGAGTAATGGGGTGGGGGGACCCTCAGGGTCAAAGAAGTAGAAGTTGAGGGCTGGGCAATGTGACCAGGCTCTCTCTCTGTGTGATTGGCATGTTTATGAAGTTAGACTCCTACTCTCCCACAGCCTGGGAGTCAGCCCTGCCTTTCTTGGTAATTTTTATTTCAAAGGCATGATACCCAAGCTCTTACAAAACCCTGGGCTTAAGAGGTATGTGTGTATCTCAAAGGGATAAAAGAAAGATTTACAATTGTATGTGTATCTTCCTCTCTACTTTTTCATTTCCCTGCCTTTCTTTTTCCTTTCTCTTCCCTTCCTTTCCTCTCTTTCTCTCTTCTCCCTCCTTCCCTCTCTTTCTCCCCACCCCCCCATGCCAGTTCTGGGGCTTGAACTCAGAGCCCGGTTGCTATGTCTTAGCTTTTTTGCTCAAGACTGACACTTTAACCCTTGAGCCACATTTCTACTTCTGGCTTTTTGCTAGTTAGTTGGAGACTCACAAACTTTTCAACCCTAGCTGGCTTTGAACCATGTATCCTCAGATCTCAGCATCCTCAGTAACTAGTATTACAAGTGTGATCCACCAAAGCTCAGCCTTCTTTTCTTTTCTGGGGATAGAACCCAAGGCCATTTGCATGCGAAGCAACTTCTCTAGAGTAGGACCTGAGCTTTGAATTTCTAGCCAGCTCCATGTGATTTTGATGTTATGTTATGGGCTACTCTGCGAAGCCTGCAAATCAAAGGTGTTCATGTCTGCTATGGTCTTTGGGCTTGAAGCTTCAGCAGCTTTATAACCATTAGCAGGTTTTTTACTTGATAAATAATTGGAAAATCCAGAATGTAAATTCTTGAGGAATACCAGTAGAATCAACGGGCTTGAGGTCTAGGTCCAACCTCTGGGACAAGGTTGAAGCAACTATATTTCTTTTCTCTGTTCATTCTTTTCCTCCTCCTGCTCCTCCTTCTTGTTCTCCTCTATCTCTTCCTTCCTTTCTTTTCTTCCCTCCCCTTGTAAAGTACTGAGAGCTGAACTCAGGGCCTAACTAAGCTAAGCAGGTGCTCGGCTGCTTGAGCCACATCCTCCACCCTATTTTTGCTTTATATTTTTTTAGATAGGGTCTCATGATTTTACCTAAGAGTCTCCTCCCTACAGCTTCCCATGTAGCTGGGACCACAGGCATACGCCACCACTTACTAAGTAACAGGCTGAGATGGGGTCTTGCTTCCCCTTACCCTGAACTGGCCTCTACCTCCCAAGTAACTGGGATTATAGATGTGAGCCACCCTGGCCAACCAACAATATTTCTGTTCGTACCTGCAAAGCCATGGTTGAGAACCACTCTAAAACCTTAGCATCAAGTGTGGAAGAGCCACTGTCATACCTGAAGAGCCCCTTTTCCCAGAGCCTAATGGCTCCCGGTTTACAGATGGGTTTTAGGGGAAAACACTTGGGTGGCAATTATCAGTGCTGTGTGGATCTCCGTGGGTGGGTCAGGCCTCACTTGTAGCTGACCCTTGAAGATGGAGAAGCTTTGAAGAGCCAGACTGTAGTTACGGGAGAATAGGAAGATCCTCCTAAACTGGTTACCTGACTGTCCTTTTCCCCCAGTTGGCTGATTTCTCAAAAACAGGCCTGTGTCTACACATTCACTCTTTCCACTGTGGTGTGGAGGCACTGGAGAATGAGGGAAGACAAGCCCTCTGGAGAAGGTTGCAGGGGTGGTGAGGATGGAGGATGGACTGAACAAGCCTCCCAGCTCTGGCTGCTCTCCCTCCACCATTTTGTATTGCTAGAGCCCTTTGGGGCAAGCCAGCCTCTGTGTATTTATGAGTCTGTTTAACCCTTTGAAGACTTGAATACTTCCTAGTTTCAAGGAGAAGGATTTGTTTGTGGTCTTGTTTCTTTCTTTTTTATTTAATTCTGGTTCTGGAACTTGAACTCAGGACCTGGTACTAACCCTGAGCTTTTTTTTTTTTTTAAAGCACTTTACTGCTTGAGCCACAGCTCTGCTTCTTCTTTGGTGCTTAACTAGAGAAAAGAATCTCACAGGCTTTCCTGCTCAGGCTGGCTTCAAACTGGGATCCTCAGATCTCAGCCTCCTGAGCAGCTAGGATTAAAAGCATGAGCCACAAGAGCCCAGCTCTGCCAATGAGATTTTTTTTTTGAGCTGCTGACAGTTGCAAAGCAAGAATTAAAGGCACATGAATTAAGCTGTATGCTAAGGGAACAATGCTAAGGGAAGCAATCTCTGGTGGCTGAGATCTGAGGCTCATGGTTTAAAGCCAGCCTGGGCAGAAAAAAAAATAGAATGATGTATTTAATAGGATACAGTGGATAGAAATGTTTAAGGCATGCTCAAAGTATAGAATAGAGATCCACTTGCAGGTAAAGCACAAAGACAAATACAGAATGATAAAGGCAGCCAGGGTTGAGAGCCCCACCTAGGAGCTTCATATTTTTAAGAAGCCATTACTCCTACCATACCCTA